ATATTATAGAGACTGAGAGAGAGAGAGAGAGAGAGAGAGAGAGAGAGAGACTTGGTATATACCCCGGTTCAGATATCAGGGCTGTTATAGGTCCGTTTACGTTCAGATATCTTTATTGGCTACTGAAGTGCCGTCAAAGGTTTGAATATTAATTCAAATTGTGGGCGTACTCAGTAACGAACTATGATTAAAAAGTAACGAAGTAGATTATTTTGCACTTAAGTACAAGTAAAAGTACAGCTTTAAAAATATACTCAGAAAAGTACAAGTACACGAAAAAAACTACTTAATTACAGTAACGTGAGTAGTTGTAATTCGTTACCTCCACCACTGCCAAAAACCCTACTGCTGCACTCTATAACACAAGAGCAAATGATTAATGTTAGCTCCCAAAAAGGTCGATTAACAATAACATGCATGTGCATACAAAGAGAAAAAGCCATTTTTTAAATATATTTTAATAGATGTGGGCTTTAGTGTATCACTTTAGTGTATAATAATGTAATAGTGTCACCCTATTTTTTAAAGGTGTATGTTATGTGCTACAAACCACGTGAGTTAAAGAATGTGATAAATGATAAAATAGTAAGACTGTACTTTACATTTTCAACAAGAGGTCCGCAAAGGAACTGACATTATTAAAGTTAGCTATGGTGCTAAAATGGAAGACATTGTGAAATGTTAGGTTTGCAACATCACTAAAGTCAACGATCGTGTCTTAAATTAGCGAGATGCCTACCTATACGGCATTTTGGCAAAAAATATTCTTAAACCTAACGAACTGCCAACAAAGAAAGCATGTTTAAAACATCAACTGACACGGAACGCGCCTGTGGTCCACAAAACTGCAGTCTAGCTAGGCAGCCACAAGGCTTTGAGACACAGCCAGTGTATTGTGTTGTTTCTCTATCATGACGCTGCAGTTGAACAAGCTAACATGGCTAATCAACAGAATCGTCAGATGATTATATTAAAACCCCGTTGTCCTTTAATCCATATATATATTAAGGACGATGTATATGGATCCTAAACTATTTAAAACAGACTCAAAAATAAGCACCATCGACATTAAACGCGATAAATGTCACTGCTTTGACAGGCTAATGCTGTGCAAACACACCCACATGAATGCTGAGACGCTAAACACAGCAACAAGAGTGAATACTTCAATGAAAGTATATTTCTTCCGCGTTTTATCATTTCATAAAACTCGTTTTGGATACGAAAGAAAAAATGATCAACTGCAAAGGCAGTTTTTCACAAATTTACCTGATCCGGCGGCGGCCGCCATCTTGTTGCTCAGCAGCGGGGACGCGCCAACTGTGAACAATCGCCTCATGAATTATGCATATTAATAACCAGAGAACCTGGATACTGAAGTTCACTCCAGTGCCTTTATTACTCTTTATATTCTCCTGAATCTGTAGTAAAGTTAGTAAATGTACTTCAGTTTTATTTTGATATATTTATTTTTTTATTATTATTTGGTAAAGTTATTGAAAGTCAAGAGTAAAATAAATAAATAAAAATAAATAAATAAAAAACACACAAAAAATTGAAAGCACCCAATATGCTGAGTAAGATAAGAGGTTGGTATCAAAAGAATTATTTAATTTTAAGTTGATGTTTTTATGTATTTTTTATTAATTTATTTATTTTTAATGCAGGAGGCTATAGGCCTAGTGTAGAAATAAATAAATATAATGCAAAGTCATCATTGTTTAAAATAGCCAGAGGAAATGTAAATGTGAACAAGTGATTTAATTTACATTTACATTTAGTCATTTAGCATATGCTTTTATCCAAAGCAACTTACAAATGAGGACAATAGAAGAAATCACATCCAACAAAAGAGCAATAATATGTAAGTGCTGTGACAAGTCCCGGTTAGTCCAACGCAGTACACGTAGCAAGTTTTTTTATTTATTAATTTTTTTTTCATAATAAATTAAAAGAAAACAAGCAGACAGAATAGAAAAAGAATATGGAACGCTAGTGTTAGAGGGTCAGTTTTGTATAAATAAAAAGAAAACAAGTTAATAGAATAGAGAGTGTTTCAGAGGGTAATTCTTTTATAATAAATAAAAAGAAAACAAGTAGTTAAAATAGAAATAGAATAGATACTGCAAGAGGGTCAAGTGTAGATTGAAGGGATGTGTCTTAGCCATTTCTTGAATATGGCTAAAGACTCATCTGCTTGGATCGAGTTGGGCAGGTCATTCCACATATATATATATATATATATATATATAAAACACAAGTGTGCAGTAAAAAGTAAATGGGTCAATCACATGGGCCAAAGTCCTTCTTTAGCTCTAACCTGCACCAACACGTCTGCCTGAAAGTTTTTTGAAGACCTTGCTTAACTGGTTTAGGTGTGTTAGTGTTGGAGCTGACTGCAGGATTGAACATTCCTGGTGTATTTTTTATTTTTATTTTGTGGGATGATTTGACAAATTCTTTTCCTGGAGTCTCTATGCCAGTTTTTGTGAAAATCAGAAAAACAGCCAAAAACTAGTTGAGACAGAAATGGGAAAAAAATTAATGCCAAACAGCAAACTAAATTCACATATTATAGCACCACCTGGTGTCAGAAAAATCTCTCTGCTCTTTGCTAAATGTCTGTGACATACACATTTTGATGTCTCAGTGCCTTTTGGTCAAGAAACTTTTATGGCAGAGGAAGTGGAAGAAGAATAAAATCAGATCAAATCAAATAAAAGGAATTATTTTAGAATATAAATAACTTTTTGAAGCGCCATGGGTCTTCTGCTCTTGCTCAAGATGGTTGAGTTACATGTTTGTACCATAGAGGACATAACTGAGTGTGTTCATTCAATTTTGTGTTCATTGTTGAGTGTGTTCACTAATTTGCATATGAAACGCAAATTAGTATTGGTAAAGCAGAGCTTAAGGAGTCAGCGGAGCACTTAATTCTGAGTTGTAGGATGTATGAGACAGAGAGAGAACGATGATGAGGAATAATCTGAGTTATGGGTGCAGGAGAGAGAAATGCATGAATGATAGTTGAATGACACCCTCTAAGAAAATATACTGCTCTGTTAATCATAACTTATACTCACAGCTTGGTCCATTTCCTTGTTGCTCTTGGTCTTTGTAGAGACCTGTTAAACGTTTTTCAGGGGGGCAATAATTGAACACCCAATGACAGACACAGCAGAATCCCAGTAAAAGAGATTTATCTGAATGGCAAATTTATTCTATGACGTACATACAGGCATACTGTATTCAATCAATCAATCAATCAATCAATCAATCGTCTGTATTAATATGAAGATGTGTCATAATAGCAACACTATGAATGTAAAGTGAATAATTTCACTTAGCTAGCCACTTGGGGCTTTCTGTGCTAATTCCCTTAAAAACTATAATTTTAACTTTACACATCTGTCCACAAATCCCTCATTAACAAACAGACACAAAATACTTTTGTGATACAATATAATACAATGTCACAAATCAGGCCTCTGTGGTTCCCGCTGATCGGCACCAGAGGGCACCATCAATGGAATACTAGCTTTCCCACTGACTCCATTTCCCATAACCCCATACCTGGCGCTGATTAGGAGCACACCTGCTGCTCATTCCCGGGACTATTTCAGCTCCCCCATTCCCCATGCTCATTGCGAAGTCTTGTTTTGCCTTGGCTGATATTTCTGAGTGTTGTCTTGTATTACTGTGTTGGATTACCGTGTCTGACTGTGAAATGTTCATTGATTCTCAAATTCTTGCTGCCTGCCTCGATCTCCTTGCTCTGCTGTTTAGACTCTTGTATGTAGTGTTTGCTGCCTGCCCTGACCCTCTGCCTGTACTCTGACTCTGCTTTTGCCTTGTCTCTAATAACCCTGTCTACTACCTGTCTTAAAGGGGTCCTAAAGTCTTGATTTTGTTTTGAGGGTGTACTAGAACAGGCTCTCATACTAGGTTGTTCGAAAAACACATTATTTTTCACATATTTTACATTATTACAACACCTCTCTCCCCAGTCTGGCATGAACGGCTCGAATAGTTCTTGTATTAAATGAAGTCCCGCCTTCTGAAATATTAAATGTGCTGTGATTGGTTAGCTGGGCCAGTGTGTGTTGTGATTGGCAGCACTCAGCGCCTGGTCAGGAAATGTCATGCCCCTTACCATAGCCGCCTGCGAGCTTCAGTGTAAATATTGCATCAAAGTCAAATCAATTTGAGCGCAATTTAAACCCGGATGATTGTAACCACTCTAAGTTCGTCTGTCTTGGGAAAGCTAGCTTGTCTCCGACATAGTGATAACACTCGTTGCCTTCTCTAGTGCAGCTCAACCAGGTCTCGTCCCATTTGTCGATATTTGTGATATCACAAATCCCGGAAAATATGCGTTGTAGTCCAAACGAGTTGTTTGTTGTAGTTTTTGAAAAGTGTTTTCTGTTAAATAAAATATCTCCCTTTGAAGTGGACTTTGAGCTTTGTAACTCTGCAGATCTTTTTTATGCTCAAACAGCAACATTACAGACTAACTAAAGTTGAAAAAGTGAAAAAGCATAATAGGACCCCTTTAATGATCTTGTATAAATTAAGCCGCACATGGATCCCCACTCCTCATTACATAGATTTTCTGTCCAACTAATACTTACTAGCAAATGCTTAAGATAAGAGTTTTAATTGTTGGTGAATTTAAGATCCACATTAATAATGAAAGACATGCAATGTGACTTACATCCAAAGACATCCTTAACAAGTAGTCAATCTTAAGACCGTGGAAATTTAATGTAAAAAGTAAAAAAGATGACTTTTTTTTTGTAAATGATCACAGATCATAAACTAGATGTGCTCTCTTTGACAGAAACCTGGCTAAAACCAGACAATTACATTACTTTAAATGAGTCTACCCCCAAGATTACTGTTATCAACATGTGCTGCATCCAAAAGGTAAAGGGGAAGGTGTTACTACAATTTATAGTAATATTTTCAGTATTTCTCAGAGGTATAGTTTATTTGAAGTGATGATGCTTTATATAACATCATCTAAGTGTAAATGATAAATCCTTTTTGACATTTTTACTGGTTACTGAATACAGGGCATCATACAGACTCTAAAGATTTTGCTGATTTTCTATCTGAGTTAGTTCAGGCAGCAGACAAAGTCTTAATTTTTGTTGATTTTAATATCCATGTAGATAATGAAAGACATATTGGGATTAGCATTTATAGACATTCTGAACTCTATTGGAGTTAGAAAACATGTCAGGACCCACTCATTGTCGCAATCATACTTTAGATTTATTATTGCATGGAATCAGTGTTTATGGCGTTGATATATCAGATCATTATCTAGTCTTGTGTATACTCCATTTAGCCAAAACCACAAAATTAACACCTTGTTACAAATATGGAAGAACTATCACTTCTACCACAAAAGATTGCTTTGTAAATAATCAATTTGTCTCAACTCCTTATCATATTCAATAGCTCGTTTCTAGAACTTAAGATATGGCTGCTATTTTATGCTTAAAGAAGATGAAAGAGAACAGACATGGCTAGAAATGCTTACTTTTTGACTCTTAATAGAAAACAAACACAACCTTAAATATTTATTTAAAAGGGGTATCGGTGTCACAAAGCAAGGCCAGACACAACAGGTAAGTGCAAAACAGGATGGTTTATTGACTGGGTAAGTGGATGTCTGGAATAGGGGAGTTAAAGGCAGGTGAATGTCAACACAGTGAATGGTTCCAGGGTGCTTATCTGCGTTCTGATGGTGAGGATCGTATGCCGGTTACGTTTGAGATCGTGGAACCGTTTCCAAGGAGTCATTGGAGGATCGCGGGAGAAACAGCAGGTAATTCGTTCTCGGAGAATTTGGCAGAGAGAGTCCAGAGTAGTTCGTAGGAGTGAACGGTAGACCGGACAGTGAGTGACTGTGCTGTGTGTGTATTTGTAGTGTGGCTTGATTGGTGACAGCAGGTGCGGGTGATCAGAACTC